TCACCCAGGCTGGAGTGCAGTGATGTGATCTTAGCTCACTGCAACCTCTGCCTCCTGGGTTCAAGCAATTCTTCTGCCTCAGCCTCCCGAGTAGTTGGGATTACAGGCATGTGCCACCACGCCCAGCTAATTTTTGTGTTTTTAGTAGAGACGGGGTTTCACCATGTTGGCCACACTGATCTTGAATTCCTGACCTGTGATCCATCCACGTTGGCCTCCCAAAGTACTGGGATTACAGGCCTGGCCTTTCTGTGGCTGTGGGCCACCATGTCAGCATTTGACCCTACAAGGCCCATCCCTGCTTCAGGCTGCCCAGGGGAGCAGGTAAGGAAGTTGCAAGGACAATCCTGAACATTTTTAAAGAACTTTGAATTCTTTAGGCAAGCTTCCTACTGATCTCATTACTTAATATTGTCATGTTTTTACATCATTGTGCTTATTTTTATTGAAAGAAACAAGTAAGAAGATAATTGATGTGCCATGTAAAATGCTGTTAAGTAAGTGTCTGGCTCCTGGAAAGTCTTCAGTGAATGTGCGAGCTTTAATGACAGCAATTAATAGTTTACCTAATTTTGCCCCCAATACTTTTAGACCAGTAGGGTAAAGTGGAATGCTCTGGACATCTATGAAAGTTTAGTGAGGGTTTTAGTAAAATGAGTTTCAGTAAATTTAAAAGTAATTTACGAAATCTATTATGAATTGCACAGGAATTGAAATGTCACTGCCTCAAATTTATGAATAGCTTTACATGTTCAAAGTTATATTCTTTTTGAAATAAAGTAGTGAATTATATTTGTTACCACTTTATACCAGCTAAAGATTGAAACTAACCTACTTGCAATAAGAGAATTGAAAAAAATTGAAAAATTCTTTTATCAGCTTTGTTGAGGTATGGTTGATATATAATAACAAAGAATATTTACAGTTCATAAAATTTGATACATTTTCACATGTTTGTACCATAAAACCATCACCACAACCAAGATGATGAAGACATCCATCATTTCTAAAAGTTACCTGGTGTCCCTTTAAAATTTTTCTCTCCTGTCCTAACTTTCACCCAATCCCATCAACCACAGTATCAGATTTCTGCCAATATGTATTTATTTGCATTTGTAGAGCGTGGTTAAGTGGATATTAAAATAAATTATGGCCTACCTATGTTGTGTTAAAATTAAAATAATGCGTTTGAAAAATAATTACATGGGAAGTACTTATGTGAGATACAATGTTATGTGGAAAAAATGATATAAAATTATTAATATAGACTGAATTTAAATTGGCACACACAAAGTGCCATTAACATATGTAGAAAAAAATGAGGGAAACATATTAAAATATGGTTATTTCTGGGTATGCATGATTATAGGTGATTTATTTAATTTATACTATTTTATATTTTCTAAATTTAGTAAAATCAGAATACATTATTTTATAATCAGAAAAATAGTAAAGCAAGCCTTGAATTAGTTGATCTAAGTATTCAGCAAACATTTTATAATACATTTCCACTTGGCTGAGGAATTTTCACTTGAAGATTTGAATTGTAAATAGTTAAGAATGTATTCTCCAAGTGAAAGGAAAAGTTGTGATAAAGAAGCACTGTTTTTTTTCTGAAAGTGCTAGAATACTTTGGATATTAATGTAAGTGTTCTGAGTAATCATATTAATAACTAGGGTATGTGAAATAATTCCTGCAGTAGCTGACTGCTTAGCCTCCTGGAACTGAACTGAACGCATTATGTGAGCTCTCTTGGTAATGAAGGTCGCAAATCAAAGGAAAGAATACATGAAAAAAGGATTAGAACAAAAAGAGCTAAAGCCATAACTCTACATCCCTGTTATAATGAATCCTATAATTTGATGAATGTAAGCGGGTAAAAAATGGCATTTAATGAATTAAGGATGAGCTGATCTTCCCTGTTGTCAGGTGGGAATGAAACCCTTTTCCTGAAATACTGTAAGATTCAGGAAAAAAAAAAAAAAATCCATGTATAAAGTAATTTGTTATATATAAGGAAATTATACTTCTTATAAAATTATAATTCATGGTGAAGTATACATCATGAAGAGGTGAAGAATAATTTTTCTTCATGAGTTTTGCATAGGACTACAGTATATGAAACATAAACAATGATTACAAAGTTTATATATTTAATTTTACTTACTTCAACTAAATAATAATTGCCTATCTCGTGTTAGCAGGCCTCTAGGAAAAATTTTTTTAAAAAGCAAAGAGTGGTATCTCTGTTCTCAAGACACATAAAGTTTAGTGCATTATTTGGGTGCAGTACTTGGGCCTAAAACCAAGTATCCACAGTCGACCCTTAAACAACATGGGTTTGAACTGCTTGGTTCTAATTATATGCAGATTGTTTTCAATAAATATATCAGAAAGTTTTTTTGAGATATGGGACAATTTGAAAAACCTTGCAGATGAACCATATAGCCTAGAAATTTCAAAAAATTAAGAAACAGTTAGATAGGTGATGAATATATAAAATATGCATAGATACCAGTCTATTTTATTATACGCTACCATAAAATATGCACAGATCTATTATAAAAAGTTAAAATATATCAAAACATATGCAAACAAACATATACCATACGTGGTGCCACAAATGTAAAACATAAAGATGCAGTATTAAATCATAACTGCATGAAATTAACTGTAGTATATATTACTGTAATAATTTTGTAACCACCTTCTATGACTATTGCAATGAGCTCAAGTGTTGTATATGCTTAAAACGCCATGTGACACTAATTCAGTTTACTAGAGGGCTGTTCATCTCTCTGGTATGTTGCTTATTGCAGTAAAAAGTGATCTCTCTTGGTTCTGGTATATTTTTCATAATATGTAATGCAACACTGTAAACCTTGACTAACACCATGGGACCCAAATGTAATGGCACTAGTGATGCTGGAAGTGGTCCCAAGAAGCAGAGAGATGTCATGACATTACAAGAAAAAGTTTAATTGCTTGATATGTACCATTGACGGAGGTCTGCAGATATGGTTTCCTGCCATTTCAAGATAAATGAATTTTGCTTAAGGACCATTGTAAAAAAAAAAAAAAAAAAGGGGGAAATCTGTGAAGCCATTGCTGTAGTTACACCAGAAGGTGAGAAAACCTTGTACTTTTTACAAAATCCTTTTTATCTCATACCAAAAATGCAGCTTTTATGTGGTGCAGGATTACTATAAGAAAGGCATACTTACAGACTCTACTATGATTGAAGAAAAATTGAGATCACTATAAGAAAGGCATACCTACAGACTCTACTATGATGGAAGAAAAATTGAGATCACTATAAGAAAGGCATACCTACAGACTCTACTATGATTGAAGAAAAATTGAGATCACTACAAAACAACTTAAAGAAAAAGGAAAGTGAAGGATCAAAGCTGGAGAATTTACTATCAGCAAAGGATGGTTTAATAATTTTAGAAAGAGATTTGTCTTAAAAAATGTCAACATAACAGGAGAAGCAGCTTTTCCTGACAGGTTCCCAGATGCCAGCAAGAAAATCAACAAGGAGAAAGGGTATCTGCCAGAACAGGTTTTTAATGAAGACAAAAGTGTCCTATTCTGGACAAAAGAATGTCACAAAAGATATGTATTAGGAAGACAAGGGATTTAAGACAGGAAAAGACAGGCTGACTCTACTGTTCTGTGCAAATGCAGTTGGGTTTATGATGAGGACTGAATTTATGAAGCTGCTAAACTCGAAGTCTTGAAAGGAAAAGTTAACACCAGATGGCAGTCTTTTAGTTGTACAACAAGAATGCCTGGACAATAAGAACTTTATTTTAGGATTGGTTCCAAAGATGCTTTATTCCTAAAGTCAGAAAGTATCTTGCCAGTAAAGGACTTTTATTTTTTCTTTTAAGAAACAGGGTCTTGCTCTGTTACGCTGTTGCCCAGGCTGGAGTGCAGTGGCATGATCATGGCTCACTGCATCCTCAAACTCCTGGGCTCAAGTGATCCTCCCACCTCAGCCTCCCAAGTAGCTGAGACTACAGGTGTGTACCATCATGCCCAGCTAATTTTTGTTAGTTTTTGTAGTAGGTGGTCTTGAACTCCTGGCCTCAAGTGATCCACCTGCCTCAGCCTCTCAAAGTGTTGGGATTAAGATGTGAGCTACCATGCCTGGCCTAGTGACTGCCTTTCAAATTTCTTTTGATATTGGGCAGTGCCCCTGGCTACCCAAAATGCATGAGTTCAACACTGAGGGTTCCATAGTGGTCGACTTGCTCCCATACTCAGTGTCTCTAATTCAGCCTTTAGATCGGGGGTCATAAGGGCCTTTAAGGCTCATTACGCTCAGTACTGTATGGAAAGAATTGTCAACACTATGGAAGAGAACTCTGAGAGAGAGATCATCATGAAAGTCTAGAAAGGTGACATCTTTGAAAATGCCATCGTTACAGAATAAAGTTGTAAATGCCATCAAGCCTGAAATCACTAAATTCCTGCTGAAGAAAACTGTGTCCAGATATGCATGACTTTACCAGATTTATGACAGAGCCAATCAAGGAATCATGAAAATGATTGTGGTCATGGCAAAAACAAAACAAAACAAAACAAAAAAGTGGCCAGAGGAGGTGAATGGTTTCAAGATAGGCGTCATGGAGAAATTCAAGAGCTAATCAAGGGTCAACTATATTTTGAGCCTGAAGAAATGAATATTTTCAATACTTATTTTCATCCATTAGTATACTGAAAGGAAATGAAAGTGACAGCATCAATCAATACAGTCATCAATTTCCATTAAAATTAGAGTTGGGGTAATTAACAAAACAAAGCATTCTCTAAAAATATTTGAAGGTAATTATACATTTTTTTCTCACTTATTTTTAGTAGCATTGTCCTTTTGTATTTTTTGGATAGGTCATTCTCCTGGAAAACACTTTTCCCAAAGAACTAACAATTAATTATCTTGCATCCAAGATCCAATATTAGTGAAGTTGAAATAAGACTGGAAAAAGCAGCAGCAGCCTTCCGCGTCGCTGTTGCCTCTGCCACTTCCTCCGCCGCCGTGTGCCCTTCGGAGTCCCGCGCCCCACCATGCCCAACATCGTGCTGTTCAGCGGCAGCTCGCATCAGGACCAGTCCCAGCGCGTGGCGGACCGCCTGGGCCTGGAACTGGGCAAGGTGGTCACCAAGAAGTTCAGCAACCAGGAGACCAGCGTGGAGATTGGGGAAAGTGTGAGAGGTGAAGATGTCTACATCATGCAGAGCGCTGCGGGGAAATTAACGACAACCTGATGGAGCTCCTCATCATGATCAATGCCTGCAAGATTGCATCATCGTCCAGGGTGACTGCCGTGATCCCGTGTTTCCCATATGCCTAACAACATAAAAAGGACAAGAGTCGTGCCCCAGTTTCTGTAAAACTTGTGGCCAATATGCTGTCGGTGGCTGGGGCGGATCACATCGTCACCATGGACCTGCATGCCTCTCGGATACGGGGATTCTTTGATATTCCTGTGGATAATTTGTATGCGGAGCCCGCAGTCCTGCAGTGGATTCGGGAAAATATTGCTGAGTGGAAGAACTGTATATTATTGTTTCACGTGATGCAGGGGGAGCCAAAGGGTCACGTCAATCGCAGACAGGTTGAATGTGCAATTTGCTTTCATCCGCAAAGAGAGGAAGAAGGCGAATGAAGTGGACCGGATGGTCCTGGTGGGCGACGTGAAGGACCGCGTGGCCATCCTCGTGGATGACATGGCTGACACATGCAGCACCGTCTGCCATGCCGCGGACAAGCTGCTGTCAGCTGGAGCCACCAAAGTGTATGCTGTCCTTATCCATGGGATCTCGTCTGGACCAGCTATTTCCAGAATAAATAATGCTGCCTTTGAGGCTGTGGTCGTCACAAACACAATTCCGCAAGAGGACAAAATGAAACACTGCACCAAGATTCAGGTCACTGACATTTCCATGATCTTGGCCGAAGCAATCCGAAGGGCACACAATGGGGAATCCGTGTCCTACCTGTTCAGCCATGCCCCACTATAAATCCAGAATGGGAAGTGTCCAGCAAGCCTACTCTGACTTCTGACTGGTTTTTGTTTTCTGGATGTTTAGCTGTAGGTACTCAGCAATGATAGGTTAATCACTGGCAAAAGCATCCGATCTTTGTATGTGCTAAGATTTATTGTTTCCCGTTCTAAAGCTCAAGATCATTTTTTTCCAGTTTTTGGGGAAATGGTGGTGGTTATTTGGTCTTTAAGTGAACTGTCTTAAATGAGAAACATTTTTGTCATTTTGACTTTTAACGGGTACATGTGATCTCTTCCTTTGTTCTTTCAGTACTTTGAGGCGACAACTTTCAAGTGTATAATTTCATTGTGGAAGTCATAGTTTATATATTTCGAGGTTGCCAAAGGTGACTTCAGATTAAAGCCTTCTGTGTAAATATAGATGATAATGCCTATGGACATTTGGGTAAAACCCTGTATAGAATTAATTAGCCTTTTACTTTGGAGTGAACCTTGGAAAATTTATAATTCTCATACCATGGATTTTGAATTTTTCTTTTTTTTTTTTTGGTAACTCAGTTTCAGATAAACCATCTTGGTTATTGTGCTTAATTTGGACCAAATTTTATTTAACTTAATATGGACACTGACACATTTTGGGGGGTATGCATCAGACATATCAGAGCAGTGTAGTTCTGGATCATTTTTAAAATTACCTCTTCTAAAACGTAACTGTCACTTACCTGAAATGCTGCTTCCTAAAATTCCAAAATTATATTGAGAAATCACCAAGGCCTAAAGCCAATTGACTTAAAGGTAATCATTTCAGCTAACATTAAATTTAAAGCCTAAGAATGTATAGAGCTAGTTTTAAAATAATGATCTCAGATTTTTAAAAAGGATATAGGAACCTGCATTGTCATTCTCTGAATTAAGAACTGATGGTTTCTATCATTATTTAGCCCCACCTTTGTATTTTAAAGTCCTTCAGAATACTTTTATGAACCAATGAGACTGGACTTAGCCACACGCATTGGAAATTCAGACCTTGACTATTTGGTTTTCCCAGTTCACAAAGGTGATGAAGACTGTTTTGGAGCAACTTAATCCCAGAAGTTGTACATTTCTTGCTGCTCCTGGCGTGGAAACTTAAGTGAGACCACCGAATACATTGGTCCTGTCCAATTCTACTGAATGGGGGTGGACTTGGCATTTATCTGGCCAAAAACAGGAGCCAGAGAAATATGAATACACCAAAGTTGTTTAGCCTCCAACTTAAATTACATTAGTCAACTTATAGATATTCATATGGTCGCTTTTCTTTTTAGATACTACATCAACTAGATTCAGGAATATATCATTTGCAGTGCTTGTATTGGTTTAAAATATAAAATTTTAAGATCCTGTAACATTGTACTAAAAATTTCAGTAAGATCATTCTGATTGCTTTCAAAAAAAAAAAAAAAAAAGACTGAAAAGAATCTGGTACTGAGTCAGTGACTCCTAAGGCAGATGTCTCAACTCTCAACCAAAGTGTAAATGGATGCTATTATATTCAATACCGTATTTTTTTTTTTTTTTT